CCACGTCTTCCGGAAGCTCACGGGGTAGTCAGGGTAGGTAGTTCAGTGGCTTCTGGGGAAACGTGGGCTCTTCCATTCCAAGTGTCTTTTTTTGCAGTGTGTCTTTGATTCTTCTCCCCGTTTCCCTTCCCCTTGAATCTGGGTGGGTTGGATTGTGACTTGCTTTGACCTCTGAGCCTAATCCTTCAGAAGCCATGACCTTTCGCTTTCACCTTCTTGGGAACTGTCCGCCCCGGGGAAAATGCTTACTGTGGCTGAGGGAGGTGGATGTAGAGTCTACCCGGAGGTGTGCCCTGGCCCATAGCCAGCACCAAGGCCCGAGACACGTGAGCAAGGCCATGCTGGGTACTTCACCAGCCACTAGGCTTCCGTGGCCATCAACACAAGGGACAGAGGTGGGCCACCCTCAGTGAGCAAAACTGTAAGCGTTAAAATGACTGGAGATGGTTTTCAAGCCTCTTGAGTTCGGGGGTTGTTTGCACAGCCAGCAGTGCACAATGTTAAAAGAGGTTCGATGCAAGAGGAAGTAGCTAGATTATGTAAATTGCTGGGATCGCTGAATTTAGAAAGCCCTCCAACTGCATGTCCACCTTCCCCGTTGCCAGGCTCCCTCTACCCTAGCAGATCTGGAGACACTCTTCTGTCTCTGACTCTCTGACTTCTCCTTTTGAAAGTACCAGTCACGGGGTGCCTGGGTGGCTCAGTCAGTTAAGTGTCCGACTTTGGTTCCGGTCATGATCTCAGGGTCCATGAGTTCGAGCCCTGTGTCAGGGTCTGTGCTGACAGCTCAGGGCCTGGAGCCTGCTTCAGATTCTGTGTCTCCCCTCCTCTCTCTCCTCCTCCTTCACTGGCCCTCTGTCTCTTGGTCTCTCAAAAATAAAGACTTAAAAAAAAATTTAGAACAGATTCCTGTTTTAGATTTCTTCCAAAGTACCAGTGAGGCCATCCCATTGGATAACACTCTAGTTCTTGTCTTGATTGAATTTTGAGCCCTGTTCAATTGCAAGCACATAAATTCATTTAAGCTACTGGGTTTTTCCTAACTTCCTACTAATATTTGCCTTCCATAACCCAGGCCCTATCCTGGGAGCTGATGGAGAACCAGACTGAACAAGCCCTGTTCTCGGGGCGGGGGTGGGGGTGGGGGTGGGGGTTCCATTCCAATATAACCTCTGATTGGGCAAGTCCTACCTCTGTCTTCGTATATGAGGCATAAACATAAGCCCCAGAGCATCACTGCAGAAAGCCATAGCACGCCGTGGAAAACAACCTGATAGTCGCCAACTGTCCCTAACTTTTTCACCCATCTCTTGGAATTTTATACAAATAGGTGACCCAGAAGGATTCTTCCTATGTGTTTTAAGGTATTGGGATTACCTGACGGATATGAGCCTAGGAAACCAGTAAAAGAGAACCGAAATGCACTTTTGTCTGTGGGATTTAAGATTTTCAAAAAAGGATCAAAGTCGTCGCCAAGGGAAACATCAGCATGTTCTTGCACTTGGTAACTTAAAAAAAAGTTTAGTAGTTTATTGTGTCTCCCTCGCCAGCTTTATCGAGATGTAATGGACGTATAATATGTAAGTTTAAGAGGCACAATAGGATGATGGAAGTATATGTTACAAAATGATTACCACCACGTAGCTAATACCCATCACCTTTGGGGGTGTGTGTGTGTGTGTGTGTGTTACTCAGGACTTTTAAGATCTGCACTTTAGTAACTTTCAAGTATACAGTATTGTTTTCTTTAAAGCGTATTTATCTATTTTAGAGAGAGACAGAGATCGCGCAAGGAAGGGAGGGTGAGAGAGAGGGAGACCAAATCTCAAGCAGGCTCCGTGCTGCCAGAGCCCGAGACGGGGCTCGAACTCATGAAACTGAGATCATGCCCTTCAACCAAAACCTAGAGTCGGACGCTTAACTGACTGAGCTCCCAGGCACCCCACAGTATTGTTAATTACAGTCGGCACGGTGCAAGCGAGACCCCCAGAACTTCATCTTCTGAGTCTGTACCCTTTGACCACCTTCAGCCATTTCCTTCACTCCCCCAGCTCCTGGGAACCACCAACCTGCTGTTTCTAGGAGTCTAATCCTTCTTAACTTCTGTCTACAACGGAGATCACCCAGTATGTCTTTCTCTGATGTACTGCCCTTGGTATAATGTCCTCAAGGTTCATCCATGGTGTGGCAAATCCTTATTGGTTATGACTGATAATGCTTTACATGTTACTAATACATATATTACATGATTGATAAATATATGCAAACATGATATAATCACGAATAACTAATATATGTATATAAACATCATATACATATATCTCACTTTTTTTTTTTAAATATTTTTATTTATTTGTAGGAGAGAGAGAGAGAGACAGCGTGAGCACGGGAGGGTCAGAGAGAGAGGGAGTCACAGACTGAAATAGGCTCCAGGCTCTGAGCTGGCAGTCAGCACAGAGCCCGACGCGGGGCCCGAACCCACGAACCGCGAGATCACGACCTAAGCGAAAGTCGGACGCTCAACCGACTAAGCCACCCAGGCGCCCCTATATCTCACATTTTTTAATCCATTCATCCACCAATGGACACTCAAGGTTTTTCCATGGCTTGGCTGTTGTGAGTAATGTAATGAGCACGGGGTGCAGGGAGCTCTTGAAGACCGTGATTTCATTTCCTTTAGATCCGTGCCCCCGAAGTGGGATTGCTGGATCCTATGGTTCTATTTGTAATCTTTTAAAGGACCCTCCATACGTTTTCCCCCAGTGGCTGTGCCAATGTACACTCCCACCAGGTGGGCACAAGGGGCCCCTTAACTCCACATCCTCACCAACACTCGCCTTTTTGATCAGAACCATTCTAACAGGTGTGAGGTGGTATCTTGGCGTCTTGGTTTGCGTTTTCCTGACAATTAGTCATGTGCAGCACCTTCACGTGTACTTGTTGGCCATTTGTAGGTTTTTCTCAGAAAGAAAATGTAGTCCTTTGCCCATTTTTATTTTTTTATTTAAAAAAATTTTAAAAAATATTTTGTATTTTTTTCTGAGAGAGACAGCGTGAGCAGGGGAGGGTCAGAGAGAGAGGGAGACACAGAATCTGAAGCAGGCTCCAGGCTCTGAGCTAGCTGTCAGCACAGAGCCCAATGCGGGGCTCAAACCCACAAACCGTGAGATCATGACCTGAGTCAAAGTCGGACGCTTAACCGATTGAGCCACCCAGGCACCCCCCGCTTTGCCCATTTAAAAAAATTTTTTTTAAATTTAAGACACAGTACAAGCTAGCAGGGAAGGGGGACATGGGAAGGGCAGAGAGGGAGGGAGAGAATCCCAGAAGGATTCCGACAAAGGGCTTGATTCTGTCACCCCTGGGACCGTGACCTGAGCCGAAATCGAGTCAGATGCTCAACCTACTGAGCCACCCAGGTGCCCCTTTGCCCATTCTTAAACTAGATTTTTTTTTTCCTATTGTAGGAGTTCTTTATGTAGTCTGGAAATTAACCCCTTATCAGACACATGGTTTGCAAATCTTTGATTCTGTAGCCTCTTCCTTTTGTTGATCAAGTATTGTTTCTATTTTGAATACTTTGGGGGATGGCAGTACCATAATCTTTTCGGTGGTCCGGCCCTGAACAATAGCAGATCTGCAGGATTTTCCTGACCCTCACCAGGAAGGTGACTTCAAGCACAAAATGTATTTTTACACCGCTGTGCGCTAACCTTCCGTAGAAACAGGTTCATATTGGCGGGAGCTCCCAGGCAAATCATCTTGCCCGTTTGAGGTGCTCCTTGTATATTTCTGGAGGCTTTAACTGAGCTCTCTCTCTGGGGAAATCCTCATTAGCTATGCGAGGGGATAGGAAATCCTTTTACTGCTTTTCAAAGGGCTGGTTCTGGGACACGTACCCCTGCGATGGCCCGCCCAGCATCTCTTTAGCTGGTCATTCATTTCAATATTTCACGTGGGCTGAAGCATTCTACTTTTTTAAAGATTTCTTTTTTTTTTTTCTTAAATATTCGTTTTTGAGAGACAGAGACGGACAGAGCATGAGCGGGGAAGGGGCAGAGTGAGGGAGACACAGCATCTGAAACAGGCTCCAGGCTCTGAGCTGTCAGCACAGAGCCCGACACGGGGCTCGAACCCACAAACCGTGAGATCATGAGTCGGAGGCCCAACCAACTGAGCCACCCAGGCACCCCTACTTTTTTACAGATTTCTGCTACAATTAACTAGGTGCCTCTTTTGTGCCGGCGCCACTTAAAGTGCTTTCAATACATTATCAGGTGCGGTAATTATAAAAATCTGGGGTAGATAACCGTAACTACCCTCAGCCCACTTTACAGATAAGCAAACTGAGGCTCAGAGAGGTCAAGATCACCCCATTAACAAAGGAACCAAGGGTCCCTTGTTCCAGTGCTTGTTCTCTTAACCCCTGATGGATCATTTTTGCTTTTCTTTCCCAAAGATAGTAAAACAGTCGTTTGAAGCATGTATTCATTCATGCGAATCGCTGGAAATAAAATCAGCGAAGGCGCCTACGCTAGCGCTCTCTAGAACTTACCCCCGCACATCTCATCCTAACAACCACTACGACTAAGAACGAACCAAGCTCCAAGGGCGGACTCGCCCCGCGGGACAGACGACGACCTGTGGACAGACACCGGGATCAAGAGGCCTCGGCGCCCATTGAAAACTCCCAACAATCGACTCCCCAGCCAGGCGCCTTCTTCCGGCTCCGCGCTCCCGGAAGTCCCGCCCCAAGCGAAACACAATTTCCGGAAAGACTCGACGCCGGGAAAGCCGGATAGAAATTGGGGCGGGGCCGTCCGGGGGCGCTCTAGCATGCCCGCACTCTATGGCCATCGCCAATTGACAGGCCGCGAGGGGCAAAGCACTTCTCTATTGGACGCGCGGCCCCGCGTAGGAGGGCAGTTCGGCGCTCAGCGCGTTGATTGGCTGGGCCCGCCACGCGGGGCGGAGGGGCGGGGCGTGGGGGGCACGCGGAGCCGGGCGACCCGCAGCCTTAGGATCTCGGGCGGAGGCCGGCGCATGTGGGCTCTTCGCTCGCTGCTGCTGCTGCGGTCCGCGGCCGGGCGCGCCATGTCGCAGGGCCCCGCCCGCCGCCAGCGGCCGCCCAAGGACCCGCTGCGGCACCTGCGCACGCGGGAGAAGCGCGGCGCGGCGTGGGAGCCCGGGGGCCCGAACACCGTGTACCTGCAGGTGGTGGCGGCCGGCGGCCGGGACGTGGGCGCGGCGCTCTACGTCTTCTCCGAGTACAACCGGTCAGGGCGCCGCCCCAGAGTCCGGCCGGGCCCAGGCGGCGCGCCCCGCCCGCTGCCGCAGCCGACCTTGGCCCCTGGGGGGTGCGGGATCCCAGATGCCCTGTGCCCCGCGGCCGTGGGGCTCCCGGGAGCCCCTGAGAGCTGCAGACGTGGGCAGGAGCGCCCCCTTTCCAGCCCGTGCGCCCCGACACGGGACCTCATGGTTGGCGTGTGGGGTGGTCTCTGGTCTGATGAGCCGGTGACGGGGGAGAGGACCCATCGCGCCCCGGCACCAGCCTGCTGCTTAGGTCCCCGGGTCCCTGCTCCTCCAAGGAGGGTGCACAAGCGGCATCCTCACGCCAGAAACGCAGCCCAGGAGGGCAACGTGCATTTTTAGGATTTTTACACCCCGCCCCCTCCCCCCCCCCGCACCCAACACTAACGCATCTGAAACCGTGTCACTGAATATCTTGCGGAATGTTTTGTCCCGTAGGTATCTTTTCAACTGTGGAGAAGGCGTCCAGCGACTCATGCAGGAGCACAAGTGAGTCAACCATTTTCTCTGGGGGCGGAGGTGATTGTGGGCCTTGAAGGCCGAGGCGAGTCGCGGGAGTGCTTCTCAAGCAGCCCAGGGGGTCCCTGTCTTGCTCAGATGTTTTGTCCTTCTTAGGTTGAAGGTGGCTCGTTTGGATAACATATTCCTGACCCGAATGCACTGGAGTAATGTTGGGGGGCTGTGCGGTAAGTATATTCTTTCTGAAGTCAGAGGCGGGAGGGAAGTCCTGGATTTTAGCCTGCCTTGGTTTTTTTTTTTTTGGGGGGGGGGGGGTCTGTTTGTTTTTGCTCATCTCCTGAGCCCATTGGAGCTGGACTCCTTTTTTTTTTTTTTTTTAATGCTTATTTTTGAGAAAGAGAGAGAGCATGAGCAGGGGAGGAGCAGAGAGAGAGGGAGACACAGAATCCGAAGCAGGCCCCAGGCCGTGAGCTGTCAGTGCAGAGCCCCACGCGGGGCTCAAACTCAGGAACCCTGAGATCATGACCTGATCTCGACCTGAGCCAAAGTGGCCGTTTAACCCACTGAGCCACCCAGGCGCCCCTGCCCTGGAATTCTTTTTATGCTCGCCCAGTCAGCTGCGGCATGAAAAGCTATGAGTCAGAAGGGCAGATATGAACACGAACGCTGCTTCCAAGCGTTACCGTCCACTTTGTTCATTGAGTTGCCGGACTGGGGAAACGTGCCAGTGAACCCGAGGCTGTAGTGGTGATGGTTACGGTAAATGCGCTTACCCCTGAGACTGTTGCCAGCTACATCCAGATGCCCGTGATCCAAATTACCAGTTATTCATGCCCTGCAACCGGGAAGGTCACGTTGCCTTGCTGCTAAGTTCAGTAAGCTCTGTGACGTGAGGACGAATGGGGTGGAGTGCTGAGCTCACCCGACCCTTAGAGCGGAGGCCAGGGCAAGGCAGCGAGGCCCCTGGGCTGCAGCGCCTGAGGCCGTCCCTTCCCTTGGTGTGGTCTTGCACCCCACGTGTCTCACTGCCTAACCCTGGTGCCAGGCCTGCCCGCTCTAGAGGCATCTGGGGAGTCTCCCGTGTCCCTCACACCTCCAGCAGGCGTCACTGCTGCATGTGGCCTGTGATAACTGAAGCTTGAACAAGGGCAGGTAGACAAACCAACCAAGGAGTTGGTTAAGTGAGGAGTGCGCCCCCTGGTGGCAGCTGCCGGGGAAGATGATGAGACGGCTGACCTTCCTCCCTCCCTCCCTCCCAGGAATGGTTCTTACCTTGAAGGAAACCGGGCTCCCAAAGTGTGTGCTTTCTGGACCTCCCCAGCTGGTGAGCCTCTCCTGACTTGGCTTTTGCAAGGCTAAACCCCTCCTTGTTTAGTGTTGACTCGCGAGCAACTTCCGTCTCCGCAAATTCGCCTTTTGCCCTCGGGAGTTAACTGATGGTGGAGTGAACCCTTCGCCTTTCAAGCTAGCGAGGCTGTGTGACCTCGCACAAGTGGCTTTAGCTCTCAGGGCCTCGGCTTCTGCCTCCGTGAGATGGCCATGACGTTGCGTAAAGTCGCGAAGGGTGCCACCAGGTACGCACATAAGGCGCGAAACCAGCTGGTTCCGTGTTTGGTACCAAGTGGGCGCACATGGTGAAGGTTAGCTCTTCCCCGAGGCCCCTTCCCCCCCCCCCGCCCCAGGACTTTCCTTCTGGGCCCCCAGAGCCCCAGGGAGAGGACGTCTGCTCAGGACCCTGCCTGACTCTCCGCCGGGCTGTACCCTGGCCCCCAGGCCCCATGGGCTTCTCACAGACCCTCGGCACGGCCGCCACTCCCCGGGGGTTGGTGCTCTTCCTCGGTTCAGTTTTGTCGCCGGATTCTATGTCTCACGAGTCGGGGAGCCCGTCCCCTGCTTATGGCTCAGCCCTTGGCTTCTAGTGCATAGCAGACACCGCGTGAATGTTTCCGTCGCGGCTCAGAATACGTGCTCCCCGTACTGCCTGTTGCCATTCCCTGCGTTTGTGCTGCCAGAACCTCATCTTTCCTCCTCCCTCTTTTCTAGGAAAAATACCTGGAAGCCATAAAAGTGTTTTCTGGTCCGCTGAAAGGAATAGACCTGGGTACGTTCCTGCCTCTGACGCGCGATCTGCCACTTCTGCCTTCCATCTGCCTCCGTCTCTCAAAGTAGAAACCATAAACAGGGGACCCCATGAAACTGTAAAAACCCGTGCTTCGTCGACAGGAGATGAAGTTTTTAAATCTTGCCTGTCGTGCTTTCCGTGCCCCCAGGTAGAGGCCAGAGATGCTTCTGGGCCTGTTGCCTTCAATTGCTTCCGGTGGGAAGAGGGCGTGCCAGCGAGGCTGCAGAGGCTTGTCGCCATCTGCGTCCCCTGAGCCCCAGCTCTGGCTCCGCTCCTGGGGCAGGCGGCCTGCGTCCCTGGTTGTTAAAGCTCCTCTTCCAGCATCACATGTGTACATTTCTAAAGCTCACCTATTTTTGAGAGAGAGAGAGTGCACAAGCAGGGGAGGGGCAGAGAGCGAGGGAGCCAAAGCAGGCTCCAGGCCCCAAGTTGTCAGCATAGAGCCTGACTGGAGGCTCAGACGCAAACTGCGAGATCTTTAAGCAGGTAGTGATCGGGATGTTTTTTTGTTTAGTGTTAACGGCCGATAAAAATACGTTGGTGCTTCTTTCCTAAGATTTGAAATTTACTCAGAAATTCTGCTTTTAGCGTAGCTTCCCAGCAGAATCCTAAGATCATTTGCTTGTGGTTGGTGTTCTGGAAAGCTCTTTCCCCCCAGTGTCCTTGTCCAGTGCAATCCCTCACTGTCTGTGGTCTTCCGTACAGCTGTGCGGCCCCACTCGGCGCCCGAGTACAAGGATGAGACCATGACGGTTGTGCAGGTCCCCATCTACAGTGAGTACGGAAGCCCCCTCCCCTGGGAGGAGGGAGGCGTGTGGGTCCCAGGCAGGGAAAGGGGGTGGTGGAGATAGAAAATGCTCGAAAATGGGCTTTGGGTGCCTAGTTTTGTGCTCTGAACATGATTAGGAAATTAAGATGGCTCCTGCCCATGAGGAGCTGATAACCCGACAGACACCTTGAACTCCCGTGTGATGATTCTGATGGTACTTGGGGCTATCGTCCCCATGCACCGTCCGATTTGCACATTTATCGCTTGGCGTTTATTTGCCACAGACGTTAGCACTGCTTTTGCCATGGGACGCGGGACAGGTTTGCGCTGGGAAAGTGTTTTTATAAACACTGATACTAACAGAAGCATTGTGAGTGGGTCAGAAGGTCCCGCGAACCTTCGCGGGTCCCAGGGTCGGACGATGTGGGTTTGACTTAGAGACCGTCTTCCTGTCAGGCCCCGCCACGTACGTGTCATCCGTGAGTCTGGCCATTCACGCCCCGGGCCAGGTTTTACTGATGGCGAGTGGAACGCAGGGCACTCGGGAATTTCCCGGCTGCCCCAGCCCCCAGAGGGGATACGGAACGGCCACGCGGAGGAGCGGACGGGCTTCTGTGAGACAGCGGCTGAGCCGGCCTCTGAGCTCTGTGATTTGTTTCCCTGGCCTGGACACATAACTGGCTGCAAAGTCACGGCCCTCCCACGGCGCCGTCCCCCTCGGCCTAGGTCTGCGCATGGCGGGTGGCGCTGGAGCGCGCAGGAGCCGCCACCTGCCTGCATCTTAGTCTGCAGACCCTGTTGAGTCCCTGCTGTGGTCAGGGCTCTTGGCTGAGCGGAAGCGGAAAGGCGATCTAAACGTCCTGCAGCCCAGAGACCCGGTGCGGGGGTCCCTGGTTGCTGTCCGGGGCCAGGCTGCATCGCGGGCACTCTGGCCCCGCCGTGAGCACAGCGGGCTCCAGCCCTGAGCTCCCCTCTGTGGGGTGGGGTCTGACTGCTTTCCATGCCTGCCAGGTGAGCAACGGTGTGGGGAGCACCCCCCTTCCCCGAGTCCAGAGGGACTCAGTCCAGGCCGGGCTTTGGATTCTGGATCCACCGAAAACGAGCAGCACCTTGCGGACGGTAACTTGGGTGTGGGTGTGGGACCTGGCCCGTGGGCAGAGGGTGAAGGTGGCCGTATAGAGCTCTGGGGCCGGTCCCCTGGGGGCCCTGGGTGGCCCCAGACTTTGTGTCCCGTGTGTCTGGGGGAAACTGAGGTCATCCACAGCCTCTCGCATCCTTCCTTAAGCGAGGGGGGTTCTCAGGAAGCACAGGGTGTTCGCTCAGACGACCACTCCCGCCAGTAAGCAGCTCTGCCCCTTTTCCCGGAAAGTGAGTTAAAATCCCAGGAGTAAAGGTGTCGGGCCACAGGGGGCGAGGCCGCTCGGCCCTCTTTGTGCCCCATCGTGTCTGCCGCCCGAGAAGGGCTTCCCCGCAGGCCTCTCAGCCCTCGAGTTCCGAGTTCCTTCACGCGTTCTCACGCGCTTAGAAAGCACATCACAACTTATTGTTCCTTCTCCGCGTCTGGATAAAACGTCACGTTTTGAAACGTCCCGCCAGCCATTTCTAAAGTTCTTCTGGTGGGCGATTTGCGTTTCCTGTTTGCTCGGCTCCAGGCGCGGGTAGAAGGTGCAGGGCTGCGGACAGAACACCAGCGCTTTCCCGGACCTGCGTCCTGAGCGCTTCTGTCCGGCTGGTGGTGCAGATGCGCCTCCGGCCGTGAAGCCCGCGCACCTTCACACGGGCCTGTTCTAACGGCGCCCCGTCTTCCGCAGGGCTTGGCCGCAGGACGCGTGGCAGGGACCCGTCCTTGGTCGTTGCCTTTGTGTGTAAGGTAAGCGCCTCCCGGGGGCCTTTCGGTGAGCGTCCGCTGGTGCTTGTCCCCCGGCCGCGAGGTGGCAGCTCCCGAGTCCCCTGTGCCCAGAAGGAACACTGAGCCCTGTGCCCACACTTTTATATGGTTTCTAACGCCCTTCCCGCAGCGGAGCCCGTCCGCCTCTGCACCGCTCGCGTTTGGGCGCGCGGCCGTCTTGCACTGAGAAGTGGGGCAGCCTTGTTCCCGCAGAGGAATCAGGCCGCCGTTCGGACCCCTCCGGCCGTCTCCGCGCGTGTGGTTGTCCCGTAGCCGCTAAGCCGCCAGCGCCGGGCCCACGGTCATGCCTGCAGCGCCCACAGGGCCCGTGTCTGCCAATCCGACCTTGGTCCGCTTCTGTGAAAATTTTAGGACAATAGAGTATTTTAGGAATCTGTTACTCACGGCCTATTTTTAATAGGGCTCTGCTTTAAAACTTCATTAACTGCAGCCAACGCTTTAATCTGTGGTAAGACTACACGTGTTGTCGTCTTATGGGCTTTGGTTTTTGAGAGCGACGTTGATTTTAAAATAAGATTTGTAATTTTCGCCCAAATTGTAACTCCAGCCAGGGAAAACGCTTGCAGAAGGTCCGTAGTAATTGTTATCAGTTGCGGGACCCTTGTATCATTTTTGTCAATTTATTTAAGTAATTTTTTTAATGTTTGTTTTTTAGAGAGAGAGAGAAGGCAAGCAGGGAAGGGGCAAAGAGAGAGGGAGATACAGAATCTGAAGCAGGCTCCAGGCTCTGAGCTGTCAGCACAGACCCCAACCGACGTGGGGCTCAAACTCACAGACCATGAGATCATGAGCTGATCCAACCTGAGTTGGCTGCTTAACGAACTGAGCCACCCAGGTGCCCTTGTCAATGTATTTAAATTATAGTAGGTTTTGTAACAGTTCTGTTGTCAACAGGCTTATTGGGTATTTCTGAGGTTTTAGGCAGTAAAATAATTTTCTTTTTAATGTTTGAGAGAGACACCAAGGGCAAGCGGGGGAGGGGCAGAGAGGGAGGGAGACACAGAATCCCAAGCAGGCTCCAGGCTCCGAGCTGTCAGCACAGAGCCCGATGCGGGGCTTGAACCCACGAGCTGTGAGATCATGACCTGAGCTGAAGTCAGACGCCGACTGACTGAGCCCTGGGGCCCCCCACATGTTTAAAGTAGGTTTATATGATACTCTATAAACAGCACCAGGCTCTCCCCGCCTTCCTCAGTAGAGGCCGCGGAGAGATGACGTGTGCCGTGTGGTGGGGCCGCACCCCTGTAGACCTGGCTGCCATCCCCGAGGCCCTGGCCCTTGGGTCCCCTCCGTGGTTGGCTGCCGCATCTGGGCCCTGCGCTCACCGGTGCGCCCTTGTCCCTCCTGTAGTCGGTGTGCTGCTTCCTGGCCGAGGGTTTGGACGGCAGCGCCGCGGAGCAGCTCGGGCTCTGGGGGCCTAGGAAAGAGGCCCTGCGTGGAGGGCCCGGGCCGTCCTCTGCCAGGACAGCGTGGCCCCCAGACCGCCGTTTGCCAGCGCGGGGCCTCGTGGGGTCGAGTCCGCTTCCCTGCCGTCTGCCAGGCACTCCAGGTCCTCAGGTGGGCACACGCCTCGTGGGCGGAAGGCAGCCTGGAGTAGAGGCGGGGTTTGCCTGCCACACGCCTGCAGGGCCTGTTACCTGCAGCTTCCGCCCTGCAGCCCGTTCGGGTCTGGGGGACACAGTGTACTTGCCCTCAAAGCATAACCGGACCTGAGTGTTGTGGTGTTGGACCTGAGTGTTGTGGTGTTGAGTGGTGAGAAAGAAACCGACATTAAAGAGAAAATCCGGGGCGCCTGGGCGGCTCCGGCGGTTAAGCGTCTGACTTGGGCTCAGGTCATGATCTTGTAGTTCGTGGGTTCAGGCCCCGCGTTGGGGGCTCTGTGCTGGCAGCTCATCCTGGAGATGCTTCAGATTCTGTGTCTCCCTCTCTGTCCCTCCTCTGTTCACACTCTCTCCCCCTCTCAAAAATAAACCTTAACACACACACACACACACACACACACACACTTTAAAAAGGTGTAAAACCAGAAAGGTGGTTAAAACCCAAGAAAAGTGCTTACAGCCCAGCGCCCTCCCTCACTGAGCTGACATCTGTGGTCTGTCCGTGGCAGCTGCACAAGAAGAAAGGAAACTTCCTGGTGCTCAAAGCCAAGGAGCTGGGCCTCCCGGTGTGAGTGGGGGTGCGTGGGGGGCTGTGGGGGCGGGCGAGGGCATGGGGGCACGTGGGCGGCCGTGGGGGCTCTTGGGGGGCCGTGTCCCCGCGGCACCCACTCACCTTGCCGGCCTCCTCTTTCAGCGGGACAGCCGCCATTGCCCCCATCATCGCAGCCGTCAAGGACGGGAGGAGCATCACTTACGAGGGCAGGGAGGTGAGGCGCCCCGTTTCTGGGACGTGTCCACCGTTCCCGCCGGGGCCCCGCAGACACCGCTCACTTTGAGGGAAGCGTGTCCAAGCTGGCTGCGTTTGGGTGTAGACGCTGAGTGTCTACTTAGGGTCGGGGGTCCTCTTCGTCGTCAGAAGGGTGCTCTCCCTTGCTGGACATACGACGGACCCCCTGAAGCTGGAAGTGGAGCACGCGGCCCAGAGGCCACCATGCTCTTAACCAGGGTGTTTTCTCCAGCGTCTCCAGACTTGCGCCCCCTGCAGGTGTGCTGCCTGCCTGCATAGAGGCATCGCGAGCAGGAAGGGGGTGGTGGTGCCCCTCCCACTGCTCTGTGGGTGCCCCGTGGGGACTCTGATGTGGGCAGCTTCCCGCACGCTCGCTGCGCCGGGCCTCTGCCCCGGGAGAGTCACCGCCTCGCTGTTTTGCAGATTTCGCCTGAAGAGATCTGTACTCCCCCAGATCCGGGCGTTGCTTTCCTTGTGCTGGAGTGTCCGGACGAAGGGTTCATCGAGCCCGTGTGTGAGAACGCCACCCTGCAGAGGTGAGGGGGGCCTTCGGGGCGGAGGAGGGTGTCTGCCCTCCTCCCCGCGGGCGGGGCTGGCCTGGCACTGCCGGGCGGTGGGCTGTGGGCAGCACACGGGCGCGGAAGTGAACTTAGAGGTGACTGCAAAGCCCAGAGCCCTTGCAGACAAGATCAGCAGGTGCTTAGAGTGCTAAGTCCAGGACAGATTCTAGAATTTTTTTTTTTTAAGCTTGTTTATTTTGAGTGAGAGAAGCGTGTGTAGGGAGGGGCAGAGAGAGGGAGAGAGCATCCCAGGCAGGCTCCGCGCTGTGGGCACAGAGCCCTTTGCAGGGCTCCGTCCCACGGACCTGAGATGAGATCAAGAGTCAGAAGCGTGAGGGAGCCTCCCCAGGCGCCCCTGGACTATTTTTACCTAATTGTTCGCTCGGCTGCATCGGACCTGTTGAGGCAGGTCTGACGTGTGTGACAGGCGTGGTCAAGGCCTGTGTTAAGGGACCGGCGCTAAGCCTGGGACACGTGTGTCCTGATACTCTGATGGCAGGGGCTCCGCGCTCTCACGTCGTGCAGAAGAGGGGACCCGTTTGCAGGCCGGCATCAATCCCGGGGAGCTGTGACCCTGCGGCCTGTGCTTTCACTTCCCCGTGTTCTGCCTGCAGTTCTCCTGATTCTGATTTACGTGCTTCGCTTAGTTTTGGGGTGCCCGTCACAATGGGCCCTTTGGGGCCTGCCGTCGCTGCGGGCAGCTGCAGCAGCCCCTCCGAGGCCCGCTCCCTCCGTGGGCGAATCTGGGCACTTGGGTGGCGCTGGCTTCGTGTTTTATCCCGCCGTGGGCGGCAGAGCTCCTAGGAGCTCACGCACAGCCCCAGGGCAAGCGCGCTGCCCCTCCCTGGCCACGGGCCCCGCGTGTGGACATGTCCCTGCCCAGGGCCAGACGCCACCCTGCCCTCCCCCCAGGCACCAAGGGAACGCGGAGGCCCCCGTGGCGCTGGTGGTTCACATGGCCCCGGAGCGCGTGCTGGCCGACCCCCGGTACCAGGAGTGGATGGAGAGGTAGGACGCTCCGCCTCTGTCCCCTGCGTCCGCTGTGTCCCCCCCTGCCCCGCCCCGCCCCGCCCCTGCCCAGCAGAGCCTGCGCCCGTGGGGGGAAAAGCCGCCGCCAGGGGGCGCCGCGCGCGCACATCCCGCTTGGGCTCCGTGTCCCCGGCAGTACCGCCGCCCTGGCCGGGCCCGGGGTGAGGCTCTCAGAAGAGAGCAGCGCAGAGCGGCCTTGGTCCACTGAAGGTGCAGCGCGTCAGGGGCGGTGTGCTCCTGGCCGCGCTCGGGGCCGAGCGGAGAGGGCGCCCCCTGGCGGCCAATCTCAGCACCGGGGGGACCGGAGCAGGTGGTGTCCAAGCCGGACTCGGAGCGCACGGTGACGTGCTGGGGTTCCAGGTCCCCATCCTTCCAGGCGGCCCCTCCGGTCCTTCCCCGATCGCCGGTTCGCCGTCGCCTCCGTGCCTGGAAGACCGGAGCCCTGACCCGTGTGGTCCGCTTTCCTTGATGGCTTGTCACCTGCCCCGAACTCCACTGTTTCCCAGCCCGTGCACGCGCCGACGGCCTAGCTCCGTGCTCTCTGGACTCGGAGCAGAGCAGCGTGACCCGCCCTCCCTGAGCCCCTCCAGCTACACGTGCGCTGCTGCCCCCGCGCGGGGTCCCCCCTGCCGGGCGCATGAACACGCAGTCTCTGCCTTAGGTTCGGGCCCGCCACCCAGCACCTGGTCCTGAACGAGAGCTGCGCGTCCGTGCACAACCTCCGCAGCCACAAGATCCAGGCGCAGCTCAGCCTCATCCACCGCGACATCTTCCCCCCGCTGGCCGCCCCGCCCCGCCAGGTGGCCGCCCCGCCCCCGCCCCGCCAGGTGGCCGCCCCGCCCCCGCCCCCGCCCCCGCCCGCGGCCCGCTTCTCCCCGTGCGCTGTGCGTGACTCCTCTCTTCCAGGAGGAGCTCCCTGCTTCCCGTGTGCCCACCGTCCGGGGCGAGTGTCTCCTCAAGTACCAGCTCCGTCCTCGGAGGGAGTGGCAGAGGTCAGTGCGACTCTGGGCCCGCGGAAGGGTCTAGAACAGGAGAGCCGCGTAGTGAGTCCCGCAGCCTGCGCGGGCCACGGGGTCTGGGTCGCGCCCGAGCTCCCCCTGCTGCAGGCAGGCCCTGACGGCCGGGGAGGGGCGTCCCGGAGCCAAGTCCCCAGCGCAGGCGGGAGGAAGGGCCAGCGGCGACCCTTCCTCGGGCTTTCCCGGTGACGACGGGACAACGGGGAAGTAAGTGTTGGATGGAGAAAGTTAGTCGCCCGGCATCCTGTCCCCCGAGAGAAGAGGTGCCGATTGTTAATGTTTTCTTGTTTAAATTGGAACGCGTGGGGCGTCTGCGGGGCGTCTGTCCGCGTGTCTGCGGAGCCGAGTCCTGACTCGGCCTCTTTCCCGGACTCGCTGCGGGGTGTCTGGTAACTGGGTCTCTAACGCGTTCCAGACGGGGTGTTGGTTCTTGTTAGATGTTTCTAGATTTTTGTTGTTCTGCTGAACCACTGAGTGTTCGTATGCAAGCGTCTGAGGGGACCTCTGTTCCTGGGGGGGCCCTTGGATGTGGGCTTACCGGGTTGGGGAGGGAACCTCTGTCCCTGGGGGGATTCCGTGGACATGGACTTACCGGGTAGGAAGGGACGCTTCGGAAGGCACTTGCAGAGCGTTAAGCTGCCGGCGGGCAGGCTCTCCCAGGGCTGCGGTGTCCCTGGAAGCGCTTCCCGCCTGCCACGTCTCACGATGAACGAGTCCCCAGCGCGCTGAAGCTTCCAGCCCGCCGCAGCGCCTGCATTGTGACCGCACGCCGTGTGCTCCGGTGCAGGACGGCTGGGCTTCTTCAGGTGTCAGAGCCTGCGGTCCCCCTGGGCACAGAGGGTTCCTAAAGCTGTGCCCGGTGAGCCCGGCCGGGACCCAGGGGCGCACAGTGCAAGTGCCCAGCCTCCCGCGTCGGACCCGGGGCGCTGGGCCTGGCCTCCCTGCGGGAGCGCCAGGTCAGGGTTAGGACCCGCTGAGCGAGCCTTGCCGGTCTGCGTGGTGGGGACCAGCCACGCTGCATCACCAGGGCTTTGCTAGAAATGCCCCTGTCAATGCCTGCGTTTCCACGGGGTTCCTGGTTCTGTGGGCCCGTTAGTGTGGCAGCCACTGCTCCTGGGCCACACACGTCCTCTGGGGCAGCCTGCTCGTCTCCCCTCCTTCCTCTGGCTCTCAGGGGAGGCTGGGCAGTGTCTGGAGACACTTCTCATTGTCACAGTCCAGGAGGGCATGGGGGTGCTAGTGGCATCGAGTGGGCAGAGGCTGGGGTGCCACACAGGACCCTGCCCCGAATGTCAGTAGTGCCAGGGTCCTGAGATGTCAGGAGGGGCTGAGCTATTCAGACCCCGCTCTTGAGACCCCCACTCGGCTGAGGAGTAAGGGTCCATACGGCAGGAGAACAGAGCTGCCCAGGGTCTCTGTCGCCTGTGCTTCAGTCTTGATGCGGAGAACCTTCTGTGGATCGTGTCCATAAGTTGATTTCGGACACCCCCATTGGTGTTTCCCTGAGGCTGCGCCCACGTTGGTCACCTGGTCGGCTGAGATGCTTTTCTCCCTGCAGGGATGCCGTCGTTAGTTGTAATCCCGATGAGTTCATCGCCGAGGCCCTTGAGCTCCCCAACTTCCAGGAAAGCGTACAGGAATACCGGAAGGCTGTGCAGGACGGCGCCCCCGCTGCAGGTGAGCGGAAGACCCCAGGACGGCCTTCCTCCCCTGGCCGCTGCTCTCTGGCGGCGCTAAGTGGGAAGTCCGCACACACCACCTGACCTGCTCTGGTTACATGAGGTAGTGCTGTTCTGTCTTGACCTGAGGACACTGGCGCCTGCCCCCCCCACCTGTCCCTCCCCCACTGCCAAGACGTGGTAAATCAGAGTGTTTGGTGATGGCGCCCAGCCGTTCTTTACGAGGCACACGCTGGGTGCAGCAGTTCTGGGAGCTCCTGCCGGGTTTCAGAAAGCTTCTGGACTGAGCCGACTCGGAATCTAGTCCTGGCTTTGCTACTAAGGGTCCATGGGAGATTTGGCCACGACACTCACCTTATTGAGTGACACTCACCATTGCTTCATCAGCAAGAGCAGTTGGGGGAGCTTGGTGACCTTTGTTTCAGGAGCTGGTTTTTCTAGTGTGCTTTTCAGCTAACGATAGAAGTAGAGAAATGTTGGACCGGAAAGCGGTTGGGTGTTCATGGGGCCAGATGGCCTTTCACCCATCTGCAGTCTGCTTTTTTTAAAAAAATATATTTATTTTTGAGAGAGAGAGAGCGCGCACATGGGAGGAGCAGGGGGTTGGGGGACAGAGGATCTGAAGCGGGCTCTGCTCTGACAGCAGAGAGCCTAATGTGGGGCTTGATCCCATAAACCACAACGTCATGATCTGAGCCAGTCAGATGCTTAACTGACTGAGCCACCCAGGCACCCCCAGCTGCAGTTTCTGCATGGAACTCCACCTGGGTGGGTGTAGAGTCTCCCCTGGAAGTAGCTTTCTGGTCTGTCTGGGGAAGACTGACTTCTCTCACTTGACTTTTGAGTTTCTGATTGCATTTCGGTTTGTGATTGCATTTGCGTTTGTGACTGCATTACTGGTTTGCGTGTGAAAGACCCATCTGGATCAGGCCTGTAGCCATGCAGCTGGAGCTTATCTAGCTGGCTGATGCCATGGAAGGGGCCTCAGCTTCAGAGCCATCAGATCTCTCTAGGCTAGTCTTTCTGGTCCTGCCTCTGCCTTTTCTGCACTAGGGAGCTTGCTTGCGTCTCCCCTGAGCCTGTTTGCATTCGCTGTAAAGCTCTTGGTGGTAAGAGCTGGATGCCAGGCGGACACCCGTCCCTTGAGGTAAACGATTCACAGCATAAAATCTCCTTTGTTACCTAAAGGAGTGAGAGCGCTTCTTTTCAAAGAAGGCCTGTGGGATTTATTTGTTCCTTTTCCCAGCTATTTACCCACAAATGGCCGGTGCAGGGAGGGTCCTCACATGAGGACCTGCCAGGTGGGTTCAGCAGCCTCTCCTGGGAAGGGGGACATAACTCCTCGTGGCTGAGTGCTGGCTCACTTCTGACCCACAGAAAAGGACTCTGTACGTGTGTCTTTCCATAGAGAAAAGCAGCCAGTATCCAGAAATCGTCTTCCTCGGAACGGGGTCTGCCATCCCGATGAAGATTCGGAACGTCAGTGCCACGCTTGTCAACATAAGGTACCGCACCCCCGGGAGCCCGCCAACTCCCAGAGAGAACACCCGTCCCGCCGCCCAGGCCGATGGGGAAATGCAGCCGCGCAAAATCGCGGCGGCCTGTCCTCTCGGCCAGAGCGCCCGGGAGAGGAGTCCTGGCGCTAATGTGTTTCATAAGTAGTCTCAGTAGCTGGCGCCTCTGCCATTCACCAGGCTCGGTGCCCTGTGCTGCCTGTTGATGAAGACAGTGGGCCCTGCTACCGTCTGTGGTGCACCTGCTGAGAAACCACTTCGCTGCATTTTAACATTAACCCTATAAAATAGCGATCACCCATTGCCTTGATCCTAAACTAACATTCAGAGAGGTTATCCGACCACTGGTCACGGCAGATCTGGGTATGAGTTGGTGTCTTCACTGCTGCGCCAAGCTCTCCCCTGACCAGTTCCTGCGGGCGCACTGAGCTGTCCCCTGGCCGGTTCCCGCGGGCGCACTGAGCTGTCCCCTGACCGGTTCCCGCGGGCGCACTGAGCTGTCCCCTGACTGGTCCCTACGGTGCACTGAGCTGTCCCCTGACTAGTCCCTGTGGTGCACATGGAGCTGTCCCGATTCGTCCCCGTGGGCGCACTGAGCTGTCCCCTGGTGGAGCGGCTGCGAGGCTCGCCCATTGGTCTCGTGTTGGGTCCCTGGGTTTGATTGTCTCGTGTTTGTGGCATTCTCGCGCATGGAGAGGCTAACCTGGTGCCGGCCCGTGTGCACGGCACGTCTGCAAGCTCACTTACAAGGTGCACGTTGACGTCGCTCATGCACAGGTCGGGGACGGACCCCTTAGGACTCGGGAGGAGCGGTGGAGCGCCTGGGGGCCGAGGGGCTCCGTGATGGGGCTTCTCCTGAAAGCCCCAGGGGGCACCTGAGCCTGACGCATTTGGTCTGGAGGCGTTTCCGGAACGCAGCGCCTGCCCGGGAGGTTCGGGTCTGTGCTCTGGGCCTTCTCCCTGGGGCACGGGCACGGCGCCCCCGCTGGATGGCCTCTCCTGAGGAGGACGAAGGCCTGCCGGTGACCGGCCTCCCCCTGCGGAGCAGAGGCCGACCGGCTGTCGGGGGGACGCCCCGGAACCCAACCCTGTGAGCGGCTCACGGGGGCCTCGGCTGCTGCCCGCCCTGCACCTGCGGGTGGGGGCCGGGCTGAGGGGCAGGGGCTGCTGGACGGGGGGAGGCACGTCCACGGTGCCAGTCGCTGCTGCGGGTTCAGCTTAAATAACCCAAGGCGCCTCCTCGCCACTAAATGGCTCTGTCCTCCCGCGTCACTAACCGGGCGCCAGCACTCGCCGGCCCGGGCCCTCTGCGTGTTTGCAGTCGTTTCCTCCGTGTACGAGCTACAGCGACCGGAGTCGCCTCTGCCCGGGGACCGGCCTCTCAGCACGAGAGGTTCCGGGAGACGCAGGAGGCCCGCGGCCGCTCGCCTCCCCCCTCCCACCGTCTCCCTGAGGCCCCGCAGACCCAGGCAGCCTTTCCGGCGACGTGACCGTCCCCATCGTCTGCAGCCCCGACAGGTCCCTGCTCCTGGACTGCGGCGAAGGCACGTTCGGGCAGCTGTGCCGGCACTACGGGGACGAGGTGGACAGCGTCCTGGGCGGCCTCGCCGCTGTGTTCGTGTCCCACCTGCACGCGGATCACCACACGGTGAGCGGCCGCTGCGCTCCGGCGCCACCCCTCCCTTCCCGGCTGTTCCCGGCTGTGCCCAGGGCCTTGGCTCTGCTCTCGCTCATGCGGTTGCTCTGCTCCCTGCGCTGCCTTGTCTGCCTGTCTGTCTGTCCCACTGTCCGTCTTGAACCAGCTTGCCTTCCCGCGTGGCCTCTTCTGCGGGGAACCTCCACCCCCCCCCAGGGCCAGTGAGGACCCCAGGCTCCTGCTCTGTGCCTGGTCACGCCGCCCACGGCCGGCGGCTGGGAGGGAAGTGGGGGCGGCTGCGAGAGGAGGACCCCAGGGCCCAGACCTGGCGTGGGGGGGTGGGGAGCGGGCAGTGGACTTCCGACCGGCTGACGCGCCCCCTCTCCCCGCAGGGCTTGCTGAATATCCTGCTGCAGAGGGAGCGAGCCCTGGTGAGTGCGCTCGCCTTGACTGCCCTTCGAGGTGGCCGGCGCCGTCGGCCACACCTCCTGCCCCCCGAGTCCCCGTCCCTGACGCGGCGCTCCCTCGGGTGTCCTTGTCTCAGGCGTCTCTGGGAAGGCCGTGTCCCCCTCTGCTGGTGGTTGCCCCGACCCAGCTCAAGGCCTGGCTCCAGCAGTACCACCACCAGTGCCAGCGCGTCCTGCAGCACGTGAGGTGAGCGGCCATCCCCACAGCCGTCCCCTCTTCTGTCCCCACTGCCATCCCCCGCGGCCGTCCCCGTGGCCTTCCCCACGGCCTCCCCCACAGCCGTCCCCAGTGCTGTCCCCACTGCCGTCCCGGAGACCTCCACGACCGGGGCATAGGAGGCGGCAGAGCTGGGACCCCAGGGCGGAGACCACTGACAGTTTCTGCCTTTCTTCTCAGCTCTCCTTTAGGTGCTGCTGGTTCCCAGCCTCCGCCTACACCCCTTCCCTCCCCTCCGCAGGCAGCCGCCCCGGGGCCCAGCGGCCGGGCAGGGGTGGGCACAGCGGGCCCCGGGCGAGCGGGGGTGGGGTGGGGTGGGGTGGGGGGGTGGGGTTCGTGCGCCCGGGCCCTCCCCTCGCCGTAGCCTCGGCGGCCTTCACCCACGAGGTCCCTTGCCGCAGCCTTGGGGTTTGGTTGGGCTCCTTTTAATTGACAATTCTTTTCTCTTAGAGACGGATTTAAATAGTTTTTCTAATAACCATTTTGGGGCTTTCTAGCCAGACGCTTGAACTTTGAGTCACATTAACATTTTTTCCCGGGACACCCGGGTGGTTCTGCGGGTTGACTGACTGGCTCTTGATTTTGGCTCAGGTCATGATCTCACGGTTCATGACCCTGAGCCCAAGTCGGGCTCCGTGCCGACAGTGCAGAGCCTGCTTGGGATTCTCTCTCCCCTTCTCTCTGCCCCTCCCCCAACTTGCCCTCCCTTTCTCCGTCACATAAACTTAAAGCATAAAAAATTTTTTTCACATTCGCCATTTAACTCTTGTCTTCTCCCAGCCTGATTCCCGCCAAGTGCCTTCAGAAAGGGGCGGAGGCGCCCAGCCCCGAGGTCGAAAGGCTGATTGGTTCGCTGCTGGGAGCTTGTGACCTAGGGGAGGTAAGGGGGCGCCTGCAGGCGGGAGGGTGACGGGCACGGCCTGGGCACAGCCGGCAGCCCTCCCCTCCCCCACCCTGCTCCTTCAGTTCCAGACCTGCCTGGTCCGGCACTGCAAGCATGCTTTCGGCTGCGCGCTGGTCCACACGTCCGGCTGGAAGGTGGTCTATTCAGGGGACACCATGCCCTGCGAGGCTCTGGTCCAGATGGGTGAGTGCGGGCGGTGTGGGCGGGCGTGAACCTGGGGAAAGTCAGTGTGGACCGCGGGAGGGCGGGGTCTCCCCGGGGCCCAGCGCTTCTCGGGCGGAGGGCCCTGCCCCAGTGCCTGCTGCTTCTTCTCTAGGGAAGGACGCCACCCTCTTGATCCACGAGGCCACGCTGGAGGACGGCCTGGAGAAGGAGGCCGTGGAAAAGACACACAGGTAGGGGAGGCCCGCTCCCTTCCCCCAGGGACCCCTGGAGCCCCCTTGCGTCAGCCCCGTGGGGAACGACCGAGCTCTCCAGAGACGGTGTGACATGGGGCCGGCCGGCTTCCCGCTGGGCCGTGGAGGCCCCTGCCCTCGTTTCTGCACCGCTGTCGGGGCGGGGGTGCTGGCTGGGGCGGGAGCGGGTCCCGCACATGTGCTGGTGTAAACGGAAGCCCGGGCAGGGAGCTGCCTGGGCAAGTGAGGGCCCGCTTGGGTGGCGGGCTGCTGCTGGGACGATCGTGTGTCACCCCAAGTGAGAAGCTCCCTACCTGCTCTCTGCCCTCATGGACACGGTCCCGGCCTGGGCTCCCATCTGGGGCCGTGTGCAAAGAGTCTGGCCCTCAGGGGTTTGTAGGCAGCAGGGGTGTGGACAGGGAATCCCCCCAGCCTTCCGTGGGTGCAGGGTGAGCCGGAGCCGGCGTCCTTCGGGCTGTCCCCCCACCGGCACCGGCTCCCTCTGTCGCAGCACCACGTCACAGGCCATCGGCGTGGGCGTGCGGATGAACGCGGGCTTCACCATGCTCAACCACTTCAGCCAGCGCTACGCCAAGGTCCCCCTCTTCAGCCCCGACTTCAGCGACAAAGTGGGGATCGCCTTTGACCACATGAAGGTCTGTGCCGTGCGGGCTGGCGCTCCTTGCGTGGGGGACTCAGGGCCCAGGGTAGGGGGTTCTGTCCATGCCCCCGCCAGGGCCACCAGTGGCTGGAGGGCAAGGCCGACCTTCCGTGGAACCCTCGGGCCAGACTGCCACGTCCGGAGTTACTGAGGGGTCAGGCCTAGCACCTGCTGGGGAGTCGGTCTTTTCTCCTCTCTGTCCCGCCCCCCGCCCGGGTGAGGATGGTCTCGTCTCGTTAGGCCCGTGCAGTGTGGCTCCTCAGCCAGCAGCGGGGAGGCTGCGCCCCCTTCTCCAGAGGCTTCCTCCCCCAGGGCCTTGGCCTTTCTCCCCCTGCCCTTGGCCGACAGGACGGCGGGGGACCTGCCCCTGACGCCCGGCCTGGTTTTCCGCTCGCCTTCCAGGTCTGCTTTGAGGACTTCCCCACGGTCCCCAAGCTGATCGCCCCCCTCAAGGCCCTGTTTGCCGGCGACATCGAGGAGATGGAGGAGCGCAGGGAGAAGCGGGAGGCGCGGCTGGCGCGGGCGGCCCTCCTGTCCCAGGAACGGGCGGCTGGCCCCGAGGACGGGGCGCCCCAGCAGAAACGGGCCCTCGCAGAGCAGCCCCAGGGCCCGCAGAGCAAGAAGGTCAGGGCCCAGTGAAGGCCCGGAGGGACCCCGGACGCGGGGGGCTGCCGTCCTCTGCGTGGTAGCCCCGCGTCTGCCCCCCGCCCCGGGGCCTGGCGGGAGCTGAGGGCCCAGCCCTGGAACGGGAACTGCCGGACGGACAGATAGGAATTAGGGGCAGACCGACACCCAAGGAAGTCACATGGAAAACCGCGTGCCCACGGCTGGACGGGACTGTCCGAGGACCCGGGACTCCAGGGACCCCGTGTCGAAGGACAGAAGGCAGTAAGGGCGCCGCGTGGCACCGGAGTGCTTTGCGCCGTCCTGCGGCCACCCCACCGCGGCCTGGATTGTGACCGAAGTCCAGCCGTGCGGGCTCGGAAGACGCAGTTCGGGGGAGGCCGGGACCCCCGGAGCCTGAGGCGGCCCCTCCTCCTGGGATTTCGCAACGCTGAGGTCCGAGCTCCGGACACCAAGGGAGTTTCAGCGATGAGCCTGGCGTGTGCGCCCTTCCCTCGCAGGAGGGCGTAGGTTCGAAAGCGAGACCGAGGGTGTGGCCGAGCGAGCCCCGGGCTCTGGTCTCCTGCGGGAGGAGTGGGCCCAGCAAGTCCCTGGTCAGAACAAGAAGATAGGCCACGCTCAGGGATAATAAATCTATTTTAATAACATTACTTTGGACAACTATTTGTACATGTATTTAAAGGTAACTTTCAACCCCTGGGCTCCGTTAACAAGTCGGGTCCTGAACCGTCCGTCCGTGCCAGGAGCGAGCGAGGCTGTGAACATCAAAAGGTGGCAAAATCCCACCCTCGGGGAAGGTTACTTTACACGTGTCGGGAAAAATAACGAAGCTTTTAAATTTCTCAGTGTACATCTGTACACGGGGTTAGTTCGGCTCAAATTAAACAAATATAGATTTCATATGTACAAATATTATAGCCTGTATAGGTAGACCGCATCTATTTTAAAAGGATAAAATTGGAACGTTTGAGTTGGCATGCATGACCCGAAGCCTCTCTGCCTGGATCCCCACGTGGCGCTGGGCTCCCCGGTGCCCCCGACCCCGCGTCACCGAGGGCCGCCTTCCCTCCCTCCACGCTGCTGCTGCCGTGAGCGGGATTATTGCTGGTCCCTGGGGCCTCCGGGAAGGGGAGGCCGGCATCGGGGCCCAGTGTGGCACTGAGATGCCCGGCCGCGGAGGTTTCTGGGGGACTGGAGGCGCCCTGAAGATCAGCTTTGAAAGTCCTCAGTAGAAAACGAGAAGGTAGTGACGGGAGCCTTCGGTCACACGGTTGGGAGAAACAAAACCCTCAGGAAGGGAAGCAAATTTTGTTTTAAGCCATTGACTTTGGAGCCCACGTGGCAGGGGCAGCCACGGAGATTGTACACGGGCCGTCTCTGCCCCCCAGCAGTCACTGGGCTGACGGTGGGGAGACACCCCCCCCTCCAGCTGTCAGAGCCTGGGGGCAACCGCAGGTGGAACCGGCCCCCCCCCCCACCCCCAGCCGCAAACGACCTTTCTGACGCACAACCGCACGGTGGAGGGGGTGCCCCTGGGTGTGGAGGCTGAGAGTGGGTCAAAATAGGCACAAAGTCAAAAAGGCAGAGATCAAACGAAAGGCCAAAGGCACCGCCCCAGGGAACAAACGAACTCGCACCAACACGGCCCGCGCAGGCCAGAGGGGACCGTGCAGCACGACTCCAGCCTCAGCCTCGCGCGGGCGGGGGCCGCACAGCCGCGAGCCCCGGGGGCGCTCCGGGGTGGGCGGGGCCTGCGCGGGTCAGAGGGCGGTGCTCTCCGACTCCTCCTCCGAGTCCCTCTTCTCTGTCACCGAGTGTCGCCGCGCGTGCTCCAGGGGGCTCAGGCGCAGCGGCGGCCCGAGCTCCACGTGGATGGAGGGGATGTCAAAGTGGACGAGATCTGCAAGGTGGCGGAGAGAGGGGCGGCTGAGGGGCCGGCGGGGGCACCCCACCCACCGCAGGGGGTGCTCTGCTCCCTCGCGCGGAGGTTCACCGAGGAGCCCCGCGCAGCCCAGCGCAGCCCCCCGCGCGCCCCCAGGCTCCGTTCTCCCCGTTCTCAGAGGGGAGGCTGCTTTCGGGGCGGGGCTCAGGGACCTCAGGCCGCGGGGACAGACCCCCTGTCGGCCCCGGGGGAGGCCCCTCCTGCAGGCACTGAAGGCCATTCCTTCCGGAGAGGGGCGGGAAGGCTGGGCCCCAGGTAACGGGGCTCAGCACCCACCACTCGGGGCCTCTGCGAGCCGCCAAGGCCAGGCGGGTCGTCCGCCCCCGGTGTGCTCCCCGCCCCCCTTAGCTGGCTCCCCTTCTGGCCCCACATAGCCTTGCCTGGGGGCAGGGGAGGTGTTCCCAGGAGGGGATGGGTGGGAGCAGGGGGCGCCTTTAGGGTATTTTTTAAAACCAACATTCAGCCCAAGGACAGACAGACATCCGGACATACACACAGAATCTCTGGGACAAACGTCCTCCTGTCACCCCGCCCCCCCCAAACGGTCCTCAAAACGTCCTTCCAGCGTGTCCTCGTCCCCCTGAGACGGGGCCTTCGGACGGACTCGAAATCCCGTCTGTCACCTTGTGAGTGTGACCTTGGAGCCACAGGCCGGCTGCCACCCCGGCTGTTCCCTGGGGGCGCCTGGCCCCGGAGCAGGATGGCGGGAGAGGCGCCCCGCCGACTGCCGGGAGGGGGACCGCCTGCCCCCAGTCTCCACAGGACCCAGGGCCTGGCAGTTTCCATGGAGGGCGGGAAGGGGGGCGGGGGCGCCCCTTCTCCTCACTTTTGATCGCGAGCATCTCCTCCGTGTGGGCAGAGGAGACGCGGCAGGGGCCGGGGGCCGTGCCCCCCAAACCCTGCGAGGCAGAGGGCCGGCCGCCTACGCCGGGGTACGAGCCTCGGCTGAACCCCACTGCCCGTGGGCGCCTCGGGCCTTGCCGGCTGTCAGCCCAGGGGACAAGTTAGAGCCCGCTCCGGAAAGTGGGGGTCACCGGTGGGACCTCACGGCCACAGTGCCGGGCGGGACCCTTCCGGGCCGCGGCCTCCGGAGGGAGGGGGCGCCCGGGTGCGGCAGAGACAGAAGTGGGGGCGGCCAAGCCTGCGCGCGCCCCGTCGCCCAGCGCGAAGCCGGCGGTCCCCGGAGGCCAGAGCGGCGCGCGGGTCCCCGGGCGGGCAGGCGGCCCCCGGGCGGGAAGGCGGCCGGGCCCCCATGCGGGCGGGGCGGGGCCGCATGCAGAGCCCGGCGGGCGCCGGGGCGCTTACCCGGAGCTCCCCCGCGCGCGTCCGCAACCGCGGCCCTCGCGTCACACGGCTGCAGCAACACAGCGACAGGATTCGGAGAGAGGAAGAAACACGATGAGACACGAACGGGACACGGAGACGACGCCGAGCAGGACATCGGTCGCGCCGCACCGGAGTGTCACAGAGGAGACCCGTGCGGACGGACACAACGACAGCGTGCTGCCAGAGAACACGGACACGCCACGGCGCGGGGGGGGGGGGGGCGCACGCAAGGTCAGCAGCTCCGGACCCGCCCAGCGGGAGGGGGGGCGCAGGCCCCCCGAGCCTTCCAGCGCCCACGTTGGGCCCCCAGTGTATCCACCGAGGGTGTCACCACCTCTCCGTCTCTGTCCAGTGACAGCCTAAGCTCCTTGCCTTGCTTCCCGCACTTTCCTGGGGGACCAGGGGACGGGAGGAGGGCCCCTCGGGCTGACTCAGGGTGACCTTGAGCTCCTGGGGTCACCTGGGCCCCTCCCCCTGTCGAAGCATCACCACCGTCAGCTACCAGCGGTGGGGGGCGCTCACAGCGGGTTTGGGAGGAGGACTTTCCTTAATTTTGTATGGGCCTCGGGGTGGACGGCAGCCGCTGTACCTTCAACGTCAGTCACCTTCCGAAACAGAAGCCGGGCCACCAGAGGCTGCTCCCCCCAGTATGTCAACCTCCTGGGCCGTCCCAGGCGCTCGGACTAGACAAGCCCGAGGGGGCTGGACCCCCAGGCTCACTCACCCACTCGAGGGAGGCGGAAAAAAAACTCACTCTCTGGGAGGGGCGGGGAGACCTAGGGGTCTAAGTACCACCCCGTCAGAAATCACAGGGGACCTAGGACCTATAAGACCCCGCTGTCCCCTGAAGCACGGATGTGTGCAGATGTGTGCGTGTGCGCGGGCTGCAGTGCATGCACACGGTATGTGTACCTGTGTGGGCGGTATGTACCTGCGTGCAGGAATCTGGGATTGGTGTAAAGTGCGTGGGGATGTGGGGCGTGTGTGTGCACACATGTGTGTGTATGCATGAGTCTGGGGTGTGTGCACGCACACCCCAAGCTGCCTCACCTCCTGCTACTTGGGACCACACAGAACAGATAACGCCCGGGCTTTGTGCCACCTGGTGACATGCAGGGCCGACATGTGGGCCAGTTCTAGGCCCAGACACAGCCTCCCTGAATGGGGGAGGGGGGAGGGGGGAGGCTCTAAGGACTTCAGCGCCACTGCAAATAGCCCGAGTCTCTAACGCCACGTGGGCAGAGTCTCTGGGGAGACATTTCAAAAACTCACCAAATGGTTTTTGCTAAATGTGTTTGTGATTTCTCCCTTTTACATCTTGGGGGGGGGGGGGGGAGATAGCTCCATCTCTAATTTTTAAACTTAAACAAAACTGAATTGAGAGGTCATAGGCTTGGCCAACAAGAGCCTCCAAGGACCGGGGATGGCAGAGATAAGCGTCTTTCCTAAAACTGACCCTTCCCTAAATAGTGCTGGAAATACGGTTTTCTAACAAGGCTTATTTTACTAGTAGGGAAAAAAACGTGTTTAGCTCTTGGCCTCTGTTCTCAAGGTCAGGGGCTGCACCTACGCGCGTACCTGGGCTCCACCCAAGGAAAGCGGCCGATAAACTCACCTGTGCCTGCACCAGCCGGTCTGGATCCCAGTCGGGCTCCCGCCCTGTCCTGAAGCCCCGTCCACAAAGGACTCGGGGCTCAGCCCCAGCCCCCCAGATTCAGACAGAATCAGAACCCCACACGGGCAGGCGTTCTGTGGGGAGCAATCTCCTAGGAAGCGCATCTGCGGGACAATCTGGATCCACTGAGCTCGTGGCGGGAGCTCCCCAGGCCCTGCACAGCTTGTCAAAGACAGTGGCACTAGTGACCCCTGCACAGGGCGCAGCCGGCCGAGGTGCGAGAGGAAACGCGCGGGCGCCGCGGCTTGGTTACCTGTGGACATGCTCTCCCCGGGGGCCATGCCGTCGAGCACGGGGTGTTCCGTGGACTGTGGACTCGGGCCCGGCAGGCTGACCGTCGGAGGCTGGGGGGGCGGCAGCGTGGGTCTCTGTCGGGGCTTGGGAGTGGGCCGCGATTTGGCCGCGGCGGTCGCGAAGCCGGCGGGAGAGGTCAGGGGGGGCGCTGCGGCGGCCGGGGAGAGCTGGCCCGAGGCCAGGGAGTACCCCTGAGGGTAACTCAGTCCGTAGGGTGAAGGGGTGCTCGGGGGCGTGGGCGACAGGCTGAGCGGGGACGGCTGGCAGGCAGAGAGGTCAGTCACGGCCGCCGGCTGGCCGAAGGGGACCTTGGGCGGGATGGGTGCCAGCTTCTTGGAAACTGAAAGAGAAAACGCGAGAACATACACACACACTCGGTTGTCAAATGTGCCTGTTGACAGCACGCCCTCGCCACCCCCTCACCCACGCTCCCCCCACCCCGCCCTCCCCGCCCCCGCGAGCAGCCAGCACAGCTTTAGAAAGCCACCCACTGCAAGGTTTCGTGCCTGTCCATCTGCTCGCTCCCTTCTCCGCCTCTTCCCGGACCCCCGCCGGGATGTGCATGCAGCCCTGGCCAAGGCGGAGGGCACGCTGCCCACACGCGGCCGGCGGCCCCACGTCCCCTGGTGGCTTCCGAGTGCTAGAAGGCATCGAAAGTGTGCTGAGGACAGGTGGGGAGTCCATGACGCGGGGTCCGAGGAGGACGCTCAGAGTTCACTTGGGGACACTGGGGCCGGGCAGGGGGCCACGAGCGAGTGTCTCATGGGACTTTTGGCCGAACCTGCCCCCTGGCTCCTGGCAGAGCGACTGATGCCCCCGGTCCTCCAGCCACAGAAGCACAGCGTCTCTCTCGCCTTCCCTGTCCTTCCCCATCGTTGCTCCGAATCCTGTCTACTGGTGGCTTTCTCTCGAGAACTGTACCCTCTGGGCGGAGACTTTGCAGACACACCGCGTGCTCCTTAGGCACATCTCTGCCCCAACCCCCCTCCGCGCTGCCTTCATCACCCTTTTTATTTGCTTGACCTTGCTACGGGATGGCACAGAGTAAAGATGAAGCGGTAAGAGGGACGAAGTCCAACACTTGGAAGCCCGCGCCGACGTGCACACGTTTGTGGAGAAAGCGATCACTAACGCGTCAGAATTAAGCGAGGGCTGCCGTGGGCTACGCTGGTTCCAGAAGAAACTTCTAGGTGCTCAAGGAGGCACCGGGGACTCTCCTCCCTCCCCCACCACGGAACATCTATTCCGAAGTGCTCTGTGTGCGTAGTGGACAAGGATGCGATCCCACCAACCTGGGTTCAAGTCCCTACCGCGTCTTAGCCGCTGCGTGCCCTCCGCGGTTCATCGAAACCTCTTCCACACGACGGGAAGGGCCGTCTCTCCTGCACAGGCTCGCAGTGTAATCAGCCTCTCGCACAGAAAGCGGCAGAGAGTCAGGACCCGCAATGAAACCGCTTCTCAGCCGGGTACCCCCAGCCAGGACAGGGGGGTGCTGGGGCTTTGCCAGCACCTGCTGCTGGGACCCAGAACGGCTGAGTGGCTGATGCTGGAATGAGTGGGCAGCAAGCGGAGACCTTGGGCGCAGAGGCTCGAACACGAGCTGGAGGGGGTGGGACGGGGGCACAGCACCATGTCTGTGATGACGTGTACCACTCCTTGGTGGCGACGGGGCTGGGCCAGGACATAAAGCTGGAGGCATGGTGTGTAAAGATTAAAGGGGCTTAAAAACACACAAAAAAGCTTGGGGCGCCTGGGGGCGCTCAGTGGGTCGAGCATCTGACTCTTGCTTTCGGCTCAGGTCATGATCTCACGATTCACGGGGCTGAGCCCTGCGCTGGGCTCTGGGCTGACAGCTCAGAGCCTGCTTGGGATTCTCTCTCTCTCTCTCTCTCTCTGCCCCCCCCACCACTACTGCGCACTTGCTCTCTCTCTCTCAAAATAAATAAACATTAAACAAAAAGCTCCTTATAAAAAAAAGGAAAACAGGCAAAACATATATTCAAGCCATAAAAGAGAAAGGCCTGGGTTGCCTGGGGGGCTCAGTCAGTTGAGCATCTGACTCTTGATTTGGGCTCAAGTCCCGATCCCAGGGTCGTGGGATTGAGCCCAGCATCGGGCTCTGCACTGAGCATGCAGCCTGCTTCGGAGTCTCTCCTTCTCTCTCTCTCTGCCTCTCTCCCTTGCTTGCTCTTTCTCTCTCACTCTAAACACAACAACAACAACAAACAACAACAAAAAATCCCTAAAGCGCGCGAGTGTGCGCACACACACACACACATACACACACACAAAGTGGGCAATGGTGGTGGGTGGAGAAGAAAGCTGTAACTCTCAAAGGAGGATTCAGCAGCCGAGTGTCACTTGGGAAAAGGGACCCGAGCCACTCTGGGCTGCATTCCCTGCCCTGGCCCCACATCCCGCCAAAACCAACTGGCCTGGAACGGGAGGCCTGACCCCATGCGACACAATGGCGTAGGCATCGTCCCGCCTCTCGGGGCTGGAGGGAGGCTTAAAGCCTCTGCAAACAGAGGTGGCCAAAGCAGCGTTCCGGACCACGTGTGCCCCGACTCCTGGGCCTGGAAGGGAGTCCCCACATCTCCCCACGGTCCCGAGGGGTCCACGTCTGCCTCTCTGGAGACACTACGCCCGTTACTCTGTTACCCCCTTGGCCCGGCGCCCAGCACAGAGCTCTGCACGTGGCAGGGGCTCAAAGCCTATTTGTGGGAGGGCTAAGGCCTGACTGGGGGACACCCAGATACGAGGGTGTGCGACAGCCACCGCGGCCTGCGGCCAGGGAGCCCGGAAGGGTCCTGCTGTAGCTGGGGTGAACCTTTCCCCTCTCTTCCACAAATCCTGCACCCAGAGCCATACCTCAAACCAGAAAGGCCTGAACGGAGCGCAAATTCAACCACCTGGCATTTTGAACGAGGTTGAGACTTTGCTAAGAGGTAACATAAGGCGGAAACAAGCAGGGGCGCCAGGGCGGCTCAGTCGGCTGAGCGTCTGCCTCTCGGTTTCGGCTCAGGTCATGATCTCACGGTTTGGGAGTTCAAAGCCCCACGTCGGGCTCTGCGCTGGCAACACAGGGCCTGCTTGGGATTCTCTGTTCCCCTCTCTCTCTCTGCCCCTCCCCCGCTCACTCGCTTTAAAAAAAAAAAAAACTTCAAAGAAATGAAAGGAAAAAAAACCAGGATGAGCTGCCCCCCCCCTTTTATAAAATGTCCCCACACAGCAGCTTCTGAAAGTCACGTCAGAGAGAATAACTGGGCCTTTTACAGTGCGCTCCATGGAAGATTCTGGGTTGGGCGGCTCACGGGTGAGTGCAGAGATTCTCAGCCTTCCCAGACAGAGACCTGGATGGTCAGGACTCCCGTGGAACAGTCCCGACTCCCTCCTCTGTGTCGCTTTCCAGAAACAACCCCGGGGGTAGGCAGTGCGCCCCAGTGGCTCTGGGCCCCTGCTGAAGCCTGACATCGCCTCTAGAGTGACGATGGCAGGGCCCAGCAGGGTCCGTGAAGACGCGTGCTGTCCTGGGCGGTGGCGTCTGCGGAGGCCTTAGTGTATGAGAACCCATGTCCTAGGTACTCACACCCCTAATGAGCCCGCTATTCAAATGAGTCCAGGAAGGAATGAAGATGACGTGCCCTGCCCCCAAGGCTGCTTAACTTCCTAGAGCTCTCGCGCCCAGCCCAGGGACGGCTCGCCAAGTCCCCGCGGTGTCCCCATATCCATGCTCACCGAGGGACACACGCCTCCAGGCGGTGGCGCAGCCGCCCCAGGCCTGAGACCCACGTGGAGACTGGCGGAGACGTACCTTTCCGAAGAGTGTGAGGGCTCTGGTCTGGGGGCGGCTGGCTGGGGCTGGCACTCAGGGGGGGCCCCGGCTGGGTCCCCGTGCACGGTGTCCCCTGGCCAGAGCCGGGACTTCCTTTCTGCCCAGATCCCGGAGAAAGCTCCTTGGTTTTTGAAGCGCTGGAAGAGAAGCACATGGGAGTAGAAAGCCTTTGAACTTGGGCAAGTGCAGCGTCTGCCTGTGGGTCCGGGTCCTACGCTCTCCTCCGGGCCCGCTCGGGTCTGCCCCGCGCCCTTTGTAATGAATGCCTTCAGACGCACTCCTGGAGGCGACTGGCCCTTTGTGGGCTTGGGGGACCGAGTTCTGCTCCCATCTCCACATCCATGGCGCCCACGGCCCACCCCCTCTGCCCGCCTCTGCCCTCTTCCACTAGCAGCCCCCCCCCCCCCCCCCCCCCCCCCCCCCCCCGCTCTATCCTGTGATCGACACGGGGATTCTTGGATGCCCTGAAACGGGAACGCCTAGGTGCCCTTGGTGATTCTGTGTCCACGGCACAGCGGGTCCAAGAGGACTTCCTGGGGCCCCTGTGTGACATGGGGGCTCCCTGCTGCGCCTTGTGGCCATGGCGCTCCGCTGATTTCCTTGACCGCCACCAGAGACCTGAGCCAAGCAGGGTTTCCGGAACCCCCCCACCTCCACGCCCCGGGATGAGTGAGTCCCTGCAGCTGGGAGGGTTAATCAACACGGTCCCAGCTCCCAGGCTTAGGAGGCGTAAGGCTCATGGCGGTGAGGGTTCTGGTGTCCCTTGAATTGACAAAGGGACACCCTGGGTCACCATGTCCCAAAGGGGCTTCATCCTTCACTGCTGGCTTTCGCCAGGCATTGTCCTAAGCATAAAGTGCATGTTAAAAGACCCCCTAACTCCACACCACAGAACAGGGACAGCAGATGCGTGGCCGACTCGTCACTCCACACCATCCCCCTCTGCGTCCTTCAAGGCAGACATTCCTAGTTGATCTCCAGACGTCCCCTCTGCTGGGTTTCCCCACATGACGTCATAGGAGGCCCCCCGCAAACCGGGGCTGAAGCTACCTGCTAGCCTTATAGGGAACCACCTGGACTCCGATGCCCTCGGGTTAGGGCGTGGGGATGGGAACCTCAATCCTTCACACTGGCCACTTCTCCCCCATGACGAGATGGAGCCTAAATCTATCTAGAGGCCCCAAGTATGAGCTACAGATACGGCACCCCTTCCCCCTGGGGTGCGGGGAGAGCGGCTGGGAGGCAGGGGCCAGGGATGGAACAGCAAACGTCAAACTACAACTGGTTTTCCCCATGAGAAGGAGTGAAGGGGACACGGCGTTCAAGGCCACGGTAAACCCTCCCCCTTCTCAGGGTGAGTTTCAAACCACACCCGGGTTAGCATCCTCTCCACCCCCCCAGAAAAGCCATTCCGTCCCGAGGGACTGGAAGGGTAGCGCCTTTCTCTGTGCTGTTGACAAAAAATACAGTGAGGGGCACCTGGGTGGCTCAGTCGGTTGAGCATCTGACTTCAGCTCAGGTCATGATCTCACAGTTCGTGGGTTCAAGCCCCATGTCGGGGTCTGTGCTGACAGTTCAGAGCCTGGAGCCTGCTTCAGATGCTGTGTCTCCCTCTCTCTCTGCCCCTCCCCTGCTCATGCTCTCTCTCTCTCTCTCTCTCTCATAAATAAATAAAACATTAGGGAAAAAAAAAAAAAAACACAGTGAACCCCCCGAGAGGCCTTGGCTCACTCTGGTGAGGCAAGAACCTGTCTCTTCCTCTTCCTCAGACCCAAGGTCCCCAGGCGCCCGGGGAATTCAGGCCAAGGATCCATCCAGCCTTCCTTCCACCTCTACCGCCACCGAGATGCAGTTACAACAGTAAAAGAAAACACAGAAGCAGCGAACAAAAAACCTGCTTCTGGTGAGATGCTACGCTCTTCATCATTTTTACACTGGCAAGACCCATGGGATCTGGGGACTGAGCAGCTCAGGCTTCGTTGTCTGCCCACCCGATGCACTCCCCCCACCACAGAAACGACTATGTACCTACTTGCTAGCGTTGCTGGCCTCTCTCCAGCACAGGTGCGGCTGACCCAGCGGGGAGAGGTGGGGTGCAAGGTGGTTACTAGGAGCGCTAGACAGAGGAGGCCCGGTGAAGGGCACGCTCAAGGACAGGTTAGCTCTGGGGACACGGGACTCGGTGAGCTGGGGTGCAAAGGGGGTAAGAAGCAGAGTCTGGGGTCAGAGTCAATGCCAAGCAGATGAGCGGGAGGTGGAGGCTGAGCCTGGCTGGAGAGAGCCGCCAGGCCTGCGGGGGGCGGGGGGTGGACGGTGGGAGGAGGGGCTGCCATCTTGGGAAGGGAGCGCATAACAGGAATCAGGCAACTGGAGGGAACGTCATCTGGGTACAAGGGTCCAGAAAACAGAAAAACAAACAAAACCCACAAACAAACAACCCAATGGAACACCCATCTGCACCGGGAAGAATCCACATCGGGGAGAGAAAGAGATAAGGAAGAGACAAATCAGAACATTAATACCCAAAGGAAAGCCACAGCCGGTTACCCCAGGAAAAGGGGCGGTATGATGTTCCCTGCCCGTGAGCGGATCTCAAGTCCACCCATCTGGAACCTTCCGGGAACACCTCCAGAGGCGGGGGAAATCCATCTTTGAGGGGCATTTCCTAGAAATCTTATCTATGTGCCGAACGGCGTGTAGCCCGGGGGGTTGGGAATGAGATGGGGAATCGGGATGAGGCCAGCGAGTGTGCAGAAAGGGGCCCCTTCCTTCCCACAAATCTCCTGCCTCTGTTCGTCTCCTCCTGGCCCACGCGAGGGCCACGGGCTTCTCTGCTGAGTTTGCTCTCCCTCTCCTGCCCCTGCGCCTCCTGTGTGGAGCCGAAGCCTGGCGAGTACTCGAGCTGAGGCCGGCGTCCTGTGGCCCTGAGCTGGAGCCCTCAACACCCACCGGAGTGCATCCAGCGTAAGCCTGGGAGTGTGTGTGTGTGTTGTGTGTGTGTGTTGTGTGTGTTTATAAAGACTAGGTTAAAAGGCTGGGCTTCCCAGAGCCACCTGGGTGGCTCAGTCGGTTAAGTGCCCGACTCTTGGTTTCAGCTTGTGTCACGATTTCATGGTTCAAGGGTTCAAGCCCCACATCGGGCTCCATGCAGATGGTGCAGAGCCTGCTTGGGATTCTCTCTTCCTCTCCCCTGGCCTGGTTGCTCTCTGTTCTCTCCATCTCTCAAAACAAATAAATTTAAAATAAAGGTTGGGCTACCTTAAGCCTCCAAAAGTTTTCCAAAAGCAGCCACGGGGAACGCGGTGTCCCCTAGCGATGCAGAGGCATCTGATTTTTCCCACTTGTAACACATAGAAACACCCAGCAAAGGGGCGCCTGGGGGGCTCAGCTGGTTGAGCATCCAACTTTGGCTCAGGTCATGATCTCACCCTTTGGGAGTTCAAGCCCCGCATCCAGCTCTGTGCTGACAGCTCAGAGCCTGGAGCCTGCTTCGGATTCTGTGTCTTCCTCTCTTTCTCTCTGCCCCTCCCTGGCTTGCACTCTCTTTCTCTCAAATATAAATAAAAACATTACACACACACACACACACACACACACACACACACACACACAGAGCAAAGCAGTCTTGGGCCATTCCTACTTCTAGGATACACCTTTCAAGGAAGGGCCAGTCTCTGTCCCCTGTGGCCTGGTATAATTAGCACACAACTGCACCCTGGGACCAAATTGATTTCAGGGCACCCATCACCCGTTTCCTCTCCGGATGGACACACTCCTCCATAAACGTTCACTGCACCGACGATGCCCGGAGCGTGTGTGCCTTCCTCCTCCCCAGAACCAGCGGAGACACAGCCCGGGCCCGCCGCCCAGGTCACCAGGCCCGGCGTGGCCACCTGACCTCCCCTCCCCCTTCCCTGATCTGCGCCCAGGTGACTCCGCGCTGAAACCCGCATGGAGGAGAGGGAGGGCGCCATGCCGAAACTGCATTTCACAATCGGCAAGTATTTACAGCACAGGAAGCGGGCACGAGAGCTGGAAGCTTCCATCTCTCCCGGATTTTGCGAGTTGCCACCTTAGACGTCTGCTGGGGAAGGGAGGGGGGTGTGTGCGGAGTGCTATTCTGGGGAGGTCTGGGCTCGGTCTGAAAATCCGGGGAGCTGGGAATCACCAGGTGCCGGCGTGACGCGTGAAGCCAAACACGAAGGCTCAGGCGCGGGGGTGGGGTGTGTGTGGGGGTGGCGACGGCGTCCGGAGGCCCCCAGAGTGGATGCAGCGGCCCCGCCCCGCACGCGCATGCGTGCAGCCAGCCTGCCCCCCCCCCCCCCCCGCTTACCTGGTGCGGGAGTGGGTGCAGCGACCCCGCCCCGCGCGCGCGCAGCCAGCCTGGCCCCCCGCTTACCTGGTGCGGGAGTGGGTGCAGCGACCCCGCCCCGCGCGCGCGCAGCCAGCCTGGCCCCCCGCTTACCTGATGCGCTCGGGGCCGGGCTGGAGCCCCAAGCCCGACGGCGGAAGCGAGGGGGCGGCCGCCACCGCGGGGCCGTCCGGGGGCTGCTCCGGGAGCGGCGAAGGCAGAGGCGCAGCAGCCAGCTCGGCGGGCGGCGGCGCGGGGGGCTGCATGGTGGGCGGGGCGCAGGACGCCTTCCGGCCGGCCGACGAGCCTCGACGAGCCACCCAGGACGTGTCCATGACCCTCACGCCCATGCTGGCGAGGGACACAAAGACAGCCGCTTAGCCACACGCGACCGGGGCGAGGCTCCCTCCCCCGCGCGGCGGACACATTCAAGCACGTCCGCCGGGAGAGCAGCAGCCAAGCCTTAGCAACCCTCCTGGGCGCCCCCTCCGCCGCCCCGGGAAGCGAGGCCAGGCCGCCCCGCCCCGCCGGAGGCTCGGGGGGACCCCCCACCCCGAAGCCGCGCAGCAGCGCCCCGGAGCGGCTGGCGGCTCGGCTTCAACCCTCGGCCAAAGCCAGCCGGCCTTAGATCTGCGCGTGGGATCCAAAGCTGCCCCCTCCCCAGAGCAGAATGCAGCCTCTCTGGGGACACTCGCTTCCCGCCCGCCCCCCAACACGTGGGAGATGGAGGCGGGAAGGGCAGGGAGCAGCGTGGCACTAGAACATGGCACTGACCAGCAGGACACATCTAAACACCCGTCCTTCCGTCTGTCACCTGGGGGCTAGAGCACCGGCCCCAGGACCCTGGCCCGGCCCCCGGCGCGCGTCCGTGCCGCAGGGAAGGGGCCGATCATGCCTATCGGTCACTCCGGGTTCCGGTTCAGTTTTAAGAACCGAGACACAGCTTCCATGAAAGCCGGCCAAGCAACCAAACAGGGCACATTCACCCTCCCGCAGAGCTCACTAAGGCATGGCTTGCTTTGCTTTCAGAGACTGAACGTGGCCTCGTGGCTAACCGAGGATACCGTACCTTTGGATTTTCCTAAGGCTGCAGGGACAGAAACATACAGATATTAGTGTCAAAAAAACTATGCCTTCCTTCGGACACACAGGTTGTCTCTCAGGGTCAGGGTCTGAGTGAGGCTCTTAGGGTGCCGTGAAATTCTTCCAATTCAGTCGGCTTTTCTAGTTCAAGTGACTCTTCTATTTGGGTGAAGGCTGTATCCTACCAAGCTCAAGGTGAATACAGAGAGAAGCCTGAGGGCCGATACTGGCATGGGTAGGGTAAGGGTTGGGGGGAGAGGGTGTCTTAAGGGAGAAGAAAAAATCGGTGGAAACAGCCATCTGCTGGCTTCCAAGTTCCTTGATTTAGAAGGCTATTCATTCTGGGGTGCCCGGGTGGTTCAGTCCGTTAAGCGTCTGACTCTTGATTTTGGCTCAGGCCATGATCTCACGGTTCATGAGATCGAGCCCCATGCTGGGCTCTGCGTTGACAGCGAGGCATCTGCTTGGGATTCTCTCTTCCTCTCTCTCTGCCTCTCCCCCACGCACGCGGTCTTTCCCTCCCTCCCAAAAGAAACAAACATTAAAAAGAAAAAAGTTTTGGAAGGCTATAACTTCTTTCCGCTGGTCTAGGAGGTAACAGGTACTGTGGTATGAAGTCAAGACCTTCACCGACTAAGCCAAGACCTGATATTTCCAGTATGCGGGGAGACATAAACATTTGTGCGACGAGAAAACCTTCCCGCATCCGTGTCTGCCGCGCATCCGCGCAGCGTGGGTGTGGGGGTGATCTTGTGTTTAGCTGACCCACCCCGGTCAGAAGCACAGAGCTGCTACAGTGGATTCTGGCCACCCCAACGGGGCTTTTTACTTTCAAGACCAGCACCAAGATTAAACAGACAAAAGGTTCAAGTTCCAAGACTGGTAGGAGCCGGTGGGATTCGGGTCCTTGAAGGAAAACGTGCCTCGGGATGGAGGCTGCACTGAGTGTCAGTCAAAGCTGAGCACACACTGGGATGGGGATGGCTTCCTGACCCTCATTCCTCGGTACGATCCCCAGAGGTCTTTCCAAGTCCGGGGTCATTGGTGCTACTTCTCGTCTCCTGTGGAAGGCACCTGGGGGACCAGGGGGCTGGATGGCTGCGTCTCTTTCCAGCACCTACTAGCTTTCGAGTCATCTTGGGTCTGAGGACCCCTGCTGCCCCCCAATAAAGCAGCACCTTCTCCAGGAGACCCAGGATCACTCATGGAGGGTGCTCAAAACTCAAGCTGCATCCCCTGATGTTTGAAGGGGACTGCAAGGGAGTATCACACGCTGGGCTTCAGAAATTATCAGGATGAAAAGAGCAAAATGCTTAGTATCAGCGGAGGAAGGGAAACGATACACTGAGCTGCAGCGGTAGGTGAGGGAGGCACGCAGGCAGACGTGTGCCACCATGATCAATAGGAAGAGCCCTGGGGACATCTGTCTGTCCACCTCACCCCATCTTCTTTAGCCTGTGTTCTTTCACTTAGAAAAATCTTTCCAGGGGCGCCTGGGTGGCTCAGTCAGTTAAGCGTCCGACTTCAGGGCATGATCTCGTGGTTTGTGGGTTCGAGCCCCGCGTCGGGCTCTGTGCTGACAGCTCAGGGCCTGGAGCCTGTTTCAGATTCTGTGTCTGCCTCTCTCTCTGCCCCTCTCCTGCTCATGCTCTCTCTCTCAAAAATAAACATTAAAAACAAGAAAGATCTTCCCAAATTCAGGGAGGAGGAGGGCAGGGTGGGGCCCGTGCTTCAGGACCAGGGCTCCTGGGGGATGTCTTCTATTTCCAGGGGCATCTTCCAACATTGGCAACCTCAGACCCAGGCTCCCTAGTGATCTGGTTACCCGGCGCAGGGGCCAGCTTTGGGAGGAGGGCTTTCGGGTCTGAGTCCCAGATTTTCTCATTTCTGTGTGACATGGATGACTTACTCGGCATGTCCCGTCCTCTGCTCATTCTCTGTAAAATGGGAGTAATTGTGACCCTCCCCTGCTCCTTAGGGTCATCAAGCATAAGCAGAACAGTGGGTACAAATCACAGAGCAGCTACTAAGAAACCAACCAGCGGCAGCCTTGACAATGACGACGCTCTGTCCTGGGAGGTGCTAAGTATTAGCTTTATATTTCTTAACCGTCACAGAGAACCAACTCAGGACGTGGACCCGAGCCTAAAACAGGCTGATGGGAGTGAGGCCGAAGCTCTCTGTGCCAGCGAATCAGGCCAGGAGGCGATGGAGACATTGGGAGGGCCCCACCTGGGTCATGGTCACCCGAGTCCACAGTATCTGCCCCATGAGATTGTCTTCTCCTCCTAACAAGACACCAAAGCTTGGGGTGGGGGTGGGGGTTCTCTGGTAGAAGTAAGGGGAACGAACAAGGAATACAGTCCCTTGTCCCCAGCTTTTGAGTCTTCCAGGCATCTGGAGAGATGGGCCCATGTGGGCTTCAGAGAAGGGAGTGCTGAAAGCCTCCTTGGATGACTGTTGGCTGAAGGAACAGAAAAATGAAGAGGGGATCGTCACCTCCCTAAGTCTTACTGCCCAGCCCGGGTCGACAGGGCAGGAAAGAAGGGAAGAACATGAAGGTCGTCTTGGCTGCAGGGTTCTTTGGGAAACAAACCCTGTGACAGGGAGCAGGGGACTCGGGCAGAAATGGCCACAGGGCTTCACCCTAGAGAGGCCTCCCGGTCACGGGCAGAGGGGCTCCCTCAACCTTCCTCGGTCCATTCTGGCTTGAGTGTATTTTTCTCTTGCAGAACTAGCCCCAGTGGCCATGGGCAGGTGGAGTCAGACAAGCATTGAATGTGGTCTTGGTGAGGTGGCAAAGGAAGGGGTTAGTCAGAGGGCCTTACAGAGAAGCGCGCCCATCAGTGTCGCGGTCTTAAAAACGGGCACGTCGCTCAAAACTCCAGTCCGTGTGCTAAAAGCAGCTAACGCTGTCCATGCACTGAGCACTGCTCCAAACGCCTCATATGTAACATTTTATTTCATGCTCAAAGCAACTCTCAGGCGGGTGCCTACTATCCTTTCCCCATCTTGCATAGAAAGAAACTGAGGCGGGGCGCCTGGGTGGCTTAGTCGGTTAAGCGTCCGACTTTCGCTTAGGTCATGATCTCGCGGTTCGTGGGTTCGAGCCCCGCGTCAGGCTCTGTGCTGACTGCCAGCTCAGAGCCTGGAGCCTGTTTCAGTCTGTGACTCCCTCTCTCTCTGACCCTCCCCTGCTCACGCTGTCTCTCTCTGTCTCCTAGAAATAAATAAAACATTAAAAAAAATTAAAAAAAAAAAAAAAGAAAGAAACTGAGGCATTCAGAGGTGAAGTGGCTTCCCAAGGTCACGGGGCCCGAATTTGAACTTGGAGAGAGCCTGACTGCAAAGTTCACACTCCGTGCGTTCAGAGGGCTTCTCTCACATCACGTTACTCCTCTTCCACAAGGTGGGGGGACGAAGGGAAGGCAAAGGTCAGACCTATAAATGTCTCCTTGGTGTGGGAAATGAGGTGGCATTCGTGTTTGAAAGCCTGTCACCTCTAAGGCCACATAGGTAAAGCCGAAGAGGCAGAATCTTAAAAATTAGAGACAGAGGACTGCCTCCGTGGAGGGAGGGAGGGAAGAAAAAAGTCCAAGTCTTAAAAATGGAAGATCTAGGGGCGTCTGGGGGGCTCAGTCCGTTAAGCGTCTGACTTTGGCTCAGGTCATGATCTCACGGTTCGTGGGTTTGAGCCGTGCGTCGGGCTCTGTGCTGACAGCTCAGAGCCTGGAGCCTGTTTCAGATTCTGTGTCTTCCTCTCTCTCTGCGCCTTCCCTGCTCTTTCTCTCTCTCAGAAATAAACATTAAAAAGAGGGGGGAAAAAAAGCATAAGGGATTGTCAAGGGTTAGCTTTTTTCCCCTGTGTAGGACAGACAGCTGCCCACGCTGCCTTTGAGTCCCGGTCAGGAGCAATCCTAGCCGGGAGTATTAACTAAAGTACGGCTTTGAAGCGTTTTAAGTCTACAGAGATCTGGAAGGTTTTGATTTTTGTCCCAAGAATCAGTTACGTTTGGCAAAAGCCAGCCGAGAGAGAGGAGGCAAGAAATGTGTCTGCCCTCAGACGGTAGGCCTGGGGGATTTGGGCAGTTCCCTGGGCGTCCACTGAAGACTTGCAAGCTCAGGGAATGTTCAAGATAAACTAGCAGGGGCAGGGCCCCGGGGGGTCACCAGATGGTGACCTTGCCTACACGTACCCGGGAAGGCCAGAATCAGGTAATTTCCAGGTAATCCCCCTCCAGGGACAATCCCTTTCTTAAATCCACACACCAAAGTTCCATGACCTCCTCAGTACAAACAGAGGCTGGGGTCACCTGGCCACGTCTCGGCCCGGCCTCAGCATCCACAGATGCATAAACCCCAGCCACATGGAAGCTGAGCGGGGGCCGGGACCAGGAATTTACCTCTCCAGGGTGCATTTGGCCAATGGAAACCCAAAACAGGAGTCAAATTTCCCACTGACACCCAGAATGAGTCTCTAGTTAAGCTCATCTTCAGAAGGGTTCGGACTCTTATCTGAAGGAAAGTGACCGCACCAGATACCCACGACAGGTCTTGCGGGGTCACAGTCTTTGCTGTTCATCGTCCCTCTCCCCACCCCCCCTCGCCGGGTCTACAGAGCACCTGATATCTGCCAAGTACGGAAGCAAGGCCCTTGGGCCGCTAGTTCTGATCAGCACGTGACCACCGACTTTGATTTAATCAATGTGGGGAACGAAGCCTGCCACGGCGCCCTTAGGAAGCCCTGTGGCACCGGACAGCGGGACTGTACGAAGCCACGCAGTAAATCAGCTGGTTTCCGTGTGCTGAGTCGTGTGTTTTAGTCCACGAGAGGCCACATTACCATCTCCCCTGAACCCAGTACGGACAGTGGTGGGAAGAGTGCTGCACAAAGCACCGCTGACGTTGCTCTTGAACCTTCTCAATTAAAGACGTCTGTCCCAAACTGCCGAACATCTAGATCGAGGGCCAGGTGGATGGGACAAGACCCATCACAGAGCAGCT